CTGCTGCTCTGGAAGTGGGAGGGAGCATCACAGATGCTCATTTCACTCTTTCCTCCCGCTTCTCACAGAAGCACTGTCCTGGGGTATGAACTATGACACTCAAGCGGAAAAAGCACGGACTTAACGTTCTCTCCGGTTTCAGTGTCTGGACACTGAGTCCTCGGGAACGTTCCTCAGCACCAGCTGGCGGCCTTCTCATGGAGGGAGCAGATAGGGCAGGGAGTACCTTCACGCCCGCGATCTCGATCATGAACATGGCCGCTCCGAGCACGTGGCCCGCATGGTAACACCAAAACTTGATTCCTGCGACCTCCTTCACTTCGTGGAAGTTGATGGTTTCGATTTTGTCCATGCTCTCTTCCAAGTCGGTCTCCGTGTATAGCATGTCGTCCGCTGATATGTTACTACATTTTTATAGATCCAACAAAAAGAATTCAGGGCAAGATTGTTAAAAAGTCCTTGATCTCACAGTAACTATGGATGACAAACCCATGAAATTATTTCTTTAACTTATATTGTATGGGTTATATTATCTAGAATGTCTTTGCCGTCTCCTGTATTTTTTTGCCCTGCAGTTCTAATAAAAATTTTAGTGTGTACAACTAGGAAGCATAATTTTAAGCACAGCACTCAGTAAACTAAGCAAAGTACTCTTTAGGGTAGTACTTCTCCACCTCTGTTCTATCCCAACGCACCTGAGACACTCCCTCACACACTGACCCAGGACAGAGATCCTGACACAGTGACGTGAAAAGATTTCTCTACAAAGGTTAGCGAACTTTTCTTCTGAAGATTATGCTAAGAACTTCCAAAAAGCAGGAGAGCGTAGTGGTGAAGGACAGGGCTCTGGAGCCAGTCTGCTTGGGTCTCAATCCAGCTGTGACCATTGCAGGTAAACTACTAACCACTCTGTGCCTATCACCACGCATTTTCCATCACCTGTAAAGTGGGATTCATAACAGAACCTACGCCATGAGGTTCTATAAAGGTTAAATGAGTTAACCATGTTAAGAACTGAGGACTGTGCCTGCATGTGGTAAGTAGCATTAAAGTGTAAGGAGTACATTTACTACTAACGATAACTCTCCCATTCTTTTTTTTTTTTTTTTTTAATATATTTTATTGATTTTTATACAGAGAGAAAGGGAGAGAGATGGAGAGTTAGAAACATCGATGAGAGAGTCATCGATCAGCTGCTTCTTGCACACCCGCTACTGGGGATATGCCCGCAACCAAGGTACATGCCCTTGACCGGAATCGAACCCGGGACCCTTCAGTCCCCAAGCCGACGCTCTATCCATTGAGCCAAACCGGTCCCAGCTCTCCCATTCTTTTGTATTTACATATGTAGAGTAACAAATGCATCTTACAACGCTTGGAATACATATATTAAACAGTAAACTCTTGAAGGCTAATAATTTGTGCTGTAGGGATCACAAAAATGCCACAAATTTTCTGATAAAAGAAGTTTTCCTCTTGCAACTGGAAGACTTCCCCAGGAAAAATTTTTCATTTAAGGTAGTCAATTTGCTTTGATCAGATAATCTAAAATAAGATTTCAGTATATATCACTGCATAACGTATTTGGTGTTAATTAACATTTATAGAATATTGTTGTTATACTTTACAACTCACCTAAGTTACAAAGATTTAAAAGAATGGCCGAAACCGGTTTGGCTCAATGGTACCTTCTTGAAGCAAAATAGCCAGTCAGGAGTGAGTATGCAAATCAACCCAACAAAGATGGTGGGTTAATTTGCATACACAGGCGCCCAGCAGTGGGTGGGATGCTTGCATCATCGCCATGGTGACAACACAGGCTTTCTATGCTGCCACAGCTGCTCCAGGCCTCTGGGCAGCGTGGGAAGGCAGAAAGGCGGCTCCGGCTGGAACGAAGGTGGTGCCAGCAGCCAGGGGAAGGAAGGCCCATGCTTGCACGGATCTTCACGCATCGGGCCTCTCGTGTGTGTTATTTCGAGTCTAACAGAGCAACTTACCTGACTTTGACGTAGTCTGAAAGAAGCCACCTGTAGATAGCTTTCGTAGCATGCGTCATGAAAGTTCTTCCTTTGAAACTCGTCTTCTGCAGAAACCAGGGCAGAGCTCCACAGTGATCCAAATGGAAACTTAGGGATGAAAGAGATCCTGTCAATTCTAAAACAGTACCCATCACACATACAGGGAGGGAAGAAATAATGTAGCTAGTCCGAGTGTGAGAAAAAGACACTAAATGTATTTTCAAACATCAATTACTGCATCAGTGGTAATTAGAGAAGAATACACCCAGACCTCTCCCGGCCACAGATGTGACAAGCCTCGCAGGGGCATAACGCTGACCCGCTGCTGTTTGTGAATGAAGTTCCTATTGGAAGCGACAAGACGTGCCCTCAGGAGGCCTGGGGAAGGCTTTCCTGGCCTCAAGCTATACAGCGATCCTAGGCACACGCTCTCTGCCTCACTGCTCCGGAGGGAGGAACACACCTCCCAGGAACTGCTCTAGCTGTGACGACAGTGCAGAGTGCTGTCAGACTTAGACGTTGGCAATATGCTTCCGGTGGAAAAGACTCTTAAACTTCAGAACCTCAGCACCTGGTAAAGAATGACTTTTATAGTAAAAGTCTATGGAAAACAGTGTCGTCAATAAAGGAAAAACTTACTGACTGATGAGCAGGAGGTCAATCTCAGCGGGGTCAATTAAATCGATATAAGGAAGAGCGTCCATTCCTTCTAGGCCAGGGTGGATCCCACAGTCCAGCTGAGAGAGAGAGAGAGACAGATCATTTTATTAAATAAATGTTTTATTAAAATTCACCCAATGAATAGACAACGCTATAACTGATCCATCACACACATAATCAAAATGGACTCTACATGCTAGCATTTGGGTCAGGACGTTAGGCCTGGAGAGTGCGCCTTTGTGAGCAGGAGATCTGGCGGACCGTTTTACATCATAGAATATATCTTCTCAGTTTACGGGTTTTTGTGGTTTTTTTTGTCAAATTACTGAGTAGAAGTGTGTGTTAGTTTTTCCGCATTACCATTTCATAGCACAGACTACATATACCAACTAAGAAACATTTCTGGGAGCTGAACAGCTCACTGCTGGACGAGAAAAGCCCTGCCAGCCAACTCGGACAGAGCGGTATTCCCCAGCCCACGGGCAGTAATTACCATTATCTTCCTGCCTTTGAACTCCAGGATGATGCATGATCGTCCCACTTCTTGCCCAGCTCCCCTGCAAACATTCAAGGGGAGACATGAAAACAATCAAAACCAAGCCCACGGATTCCAACTCTTTTACAGCTCACACTGAGCCCACCTGACGGCCAGGAGGAAAGTGGCCCCACACTGGGACGCCTCTCAGTGTCACAGGTGCCACTTCCTGCGCTGGGACATCCTTACCCCCTCCTTGACCTGTCTGTGACTCCTACTTTCTTTAAAGGCTCAGCTCCTGCACCTCTGAGACAGCACTCTCTCCCCTTCTCCACGCTCCATGGCACTCACTCAGCGGCGATTATAACAGTAACCATGCACTGAGAGAGAGTGACTCGCACAGCAACAGCTGCCACAGTATTCCCACTGAGGAAACAACAGGGTTCAGATTTCAGGGCTGACTGCCAAGTCCCCATCTCCCGGTGTTCCCAAGGAGAGCTCTCTGGTGGTTTTTCTTTTTCTTTTTTTTTTCTTTTTTTTTAATATATTTTATTGATTTTGTACAGAGAGGAAGGGAGAGAGATAGAAAGCCAGAAACATCGATGAGAGAGAGTCATCGATCAGCTGCCTCTTGCACACCCCCCACTGGGGATATGCCCGCAACCAAGGTACATGCCCTTGACCGGAATTGAACCCGGGTCCCTTCAGTCCCCAAGCCGACGCTCTATCCATTGAGCCAAACCGGTCTCGGCTCTCTGGTGGTTTTTCACTGCGCGCTGCAATTCCCTCCAAGAGGGTGAATTCGGGAACCTTGCCCCAGTCTTATCTGTATCCCCAGCGCGCGGTGTGGTGCTTGACAGCGGGCTGTGAGCACGTGAGGAGCGGACAGGTGAGCCAGCAGGAGCTCAGCAAGTCCGTGTTGGATACATGATGGGTAGATACTTCCAACCTTTTAAAAAATGCATCCATCCATGTTGTGCCAACACCTACCGTAACAGCAAACAAACTGCTTTGGCTCCCCGCACCCTGTTCTCCCTTTCTGAGCGGCGCTCCGGGTCTGCCCCGCGCTTCTCCCCGGAAAGACCAGCCCCGCACGGGCACCCAGGGCTGGGTTCCGCCCCGGCACCTCTGCTTTCCCTCCTCCCCCGCTTCCTCCCCTCCCCCTCCTCCCAGGGTCTGGGCTCCACAGGGAACTCTCACCAAAGTCCCCACTTTCGCATATCGGCAAATGCCACGTCCCGGAGGTCGTCCTAACAGCCACTGCGTTCTTCCCCGCAGCGCCGCCGCCTCATCCGGGCCTCAGCAAGGCCTGCCCGCGGCCGCAGCACCAGCGCCAGCTCCCCGGGGGCTGCCACTCCCCGGCGGGTATGAAAGCGCCCCCAGGGGCTCCCCACCCCCAACTCCAACCCCCTTCCCTACGATCGGAGGAAAGCACCACCCATTCCACCCCGAAGGCCCCTTCAGCAGCCGCGGACCGGGGCGGCGGAGCGCCGGCCACCCCGTGAGCCCTCCCCGCCTCTCGCCGGCCGCTTACAGGGGCCGGATCAGCAGCTGGTCACTCTCCTCCGCAGGGATCGCGGACATCGCGGAAGTCCGGGGCGACGCCGAGGGGAGCCACCGGGCGCGGGAGCCTTTCTATAGCGGAGGCATAGCCACGGGGAACCGCGCTGGGGAGAACGCCTACCGCGGAGAGCACAACTTCCGGCGCTCCGGCGCCGCGGCGCTAGGCTCCTCCCCTCCACTTCCGGTAGAGCTCCCGCCTCTCGAGAGCCTTTCCCCTCTCGGAGGCCAAACACCTGGGGCAGGGCCAGGAGCGCGCATGCGCGAGGTCTGGGAGGCGGGCCCGGCGGGCGGGGCCAGAGGACCGGAAAAGCTGGCGCTGGAGTCGGGAGCGGGAGTGGCTGCCCCCGCGCGGGCTGCGAGGCGGCGGGTGTCGGACCGCGCACGACCCCAGGGATGGGCCAGCGGCTGTGAGGTGAGGGTCCGGCCCTGGCCGCGCTGGCTGAGCCCGGCCGGGAACGCGGGTCCCCGACGGCGGGCGGGCGGCCGGCCGGCGGCGGGGCGGATGGGTGGGGCCGCGGTGCCTACGGGGACCCGCCCTCTCTGGTCCGGAATCCGAGCCCCGAGGCGGCGCGTGACGGGCGGCGGAGCCGGGGCCCGCGGGAGGATGCGGTGCCCTGGGTGACCCCCTCTTGTCGGGGCGGGGACTGCGGCTTCTGAGGCCACGGTGTCGCGCGTGGGAGGGACGCCGGGAGCGGGAGCGCCGCGGGGCTGCCCTCCGCGTCCGCCTCTGCTTCGGGGGCCTGAGGCGGCGCCCCGCTCTCCGAGCCGGCGCTGCTCGGCTTCTCTGCCGCGCGGGGCCGGCGGCCTGTCTGTCGCCCTGCGCCCCCCGCGCGTGGCGGGCTGGGGGCCGGGGAGCGCGGAGCCGGCCCGTCGGTCAGTCCCGGGCTTGGCCCCGCCCACCGTGGTGGTCCCGGCGCCGCGTTTAAAGGGGCCGCACCCTGCCACCGGGACGGGCACCCGCGCCATGGCCTCTGTGCCCAGCCCCGCCGCTCTCAGGGCGCGCACCGGACACGCTGAGAGCCGTGGTGTCTGGAGTTGACTCACGGGAAGCGAGGCGCTCAAGTATTTCGAGAATTAATTGGCATCTGTCTGTTGCTTCTGAAAACTACCTGTAATTATGACCAGGTTTCTGCCCTTCTGGGGTTAGATTTTTATTATTTTAAAATATATATTTTATTGATTTTTTTTTTTAACAGAGAGGAAGGGAGAGGGATAGAGAGCTAGAAACATCGAGAAACATCGATCAGCTGCCTCCTACTGGGGATGTGCCCGCAACCTAGGTACAGGCCCTTGACCGGAATCGAACCCGGGACCCTTGAGTCCACAGGCCGATGCTCTATCCGCTGAGCCAAACCGGTCAGGGCTGGGGTTAGGTTTTTAGAATTTGAAAAAGAAATAGCGAGAATAAGAATAGAATCCGAATCCTGTGCTCCAGCATTTTTTAGGTGAGAGGCACTGATGGCTTTGATGCCTGTTGTGCACCAAGTGACTTGACAGTTGCTTTCCTTGGCATAACCGGACATTTGTCTTCCTAGGGGAGCCCCTCTGGACCCAGCTGTAGTGAACATGTTTCGGAAAGGCAAAAAGCGGCACAGTAGTAGCAGCTCGCAAAGTAGCGAGATCAGTACTAAGAGCAAGGTAGGGGCCGGCGCTGGCCAGCCGCGCCCGTTCAGTTTCTCCCGATGTTGCATGAAGGATACTAACCGTGGCAGACCCGCTGATGTAGCCTTCAAACTAGGTGTGTTTTAACATTCATTCATTTTATTTTATTTATTTATTTATTTATTATTTATTTATTTTTGCAGTAGAGACACATTCTGTGCTTGATTTCATTTTGTCTTGGTAGATTTTCCGAAATTCTTAAATCCACTCACTGAGGTGGGACAGGACCCGTAAATGGTCTTGTTGAAACAAACATCGCTTTAAAAAAATTTTTTTTTTTTTTTTATGTGATAGAAATTGCATGCAACTCAGGGGCTGCACGCCTTGAATCGTAGCATTTGTGGTGTGCACGTGTAGCCGTAGTCCCGCACTAACGCGCATGCTGCTTTGTCCTTTGCTGGGCAGTTTTGTTGGTTTTTCTTTGCAATTCACGTGGGTGTTCTGCCTGCCGGCCTGGGTGTGGACTGGTGCCCGTTGGGGTTTTGCGGAAGCGCTGGGAGGGGGGTGTAAACAGGAACCCTGCTCAGATGGGAGGTCTGGGGTATTGACGAGGCAGGTGTAACCCGGGTAAATCACCTCATCTCTCCTGGCCGCTGCTCACTTATTAAACGGGGAGCTCTCCCCGCCTGCTTTCTGCTCAGGGTTCTCCTCTGGTTCAGGGAGATAAGGTGGAAGCCAGGTGTCGATTTTCACCTACGAGATGCGTATCAGTTGCCGTGTGAGGAGGCAGAGAAGGGCTCTGATTTCGGTCGGCCGTGGGGACAGCACGTGTGCTCAGGACGGGGTTACCTGGGGGAGCCGTTGGGGTTATGTGTTCATCCGAATGTAACACGTGGTTTGAATGTTCGGTAGAGAACTTGAGAGGTGGCGATGATGATTAAGATCTGGTGACGATTAAATAAATACGTGTTTGCTTCTGATTTCCCAGTCTGTGGACTCCAGCCTCGGGGGCCTTTCTCGGTCCAGCACTGTGGCCAGCCTCGACACCGACTCCACCAAAAGCTCAGGTACGGGGAGGGCTGGGTGGTCGCGTTCCTGTATGACCTGGGTGGCCGCGTTCCTGTATGTTTGGGTTTCCTCTCTCTCCTCTGCCGTTTTTGATAGTTTAGAAATGGCCCAGGACCTGATGCAGAGAGGGTTGTGAGGTGGTTAGTGAAAGCCGTTGGCTGGGGCAGGTGCCAAACTGCTCTTCACGGGTCCTAGAGCAAAGCATGCTGGGAAGTTCCACAGCCGCTTTTTAAGGAACGGGTTGGCAGAGCACGCGTTCTGGGGTACAGCACAGAGGCCTTGCTGCCCATGAGGAGGATTAAGGAGTCGTTAAGACACCAGCTCTAAACCCCAGGAGCACCTGTGATTAAGTGTAGCATCTCTCAGACACTCGAAGACACACATGCAGACACCGAAATGAGCAGCTCTTTAGAGATTAAAAGATGGCTTCTGACTGCCAACAGCTAGTACCTACTGGGATAGTCACACGTTCACCTGTCTGCTCTCCTCCCACTCTTCCTTCCGGGTCACAGATGAGTCCAGCTGTAAACGTTGGGGGCGGGTAGAGAGAAACATGGGCTGTAAAACAGAACATAGAAGCACAAGGTCTGTTACCTTCCAGATGCCTTTAACATATTAGAATTGTCTGGGCATCTTCTTCTGACATGGATCTCACCTACAATCATCACACGGTATTTATTTTCTCTCTGTGGCAGGCAGCACAGACATTTTGGTGGTTTTGTATTGACTAATTTTTATAGCTAGCACATTTTATTCCTTCTGCATTAAAAAAAAAATTTTTTTTTTTGCCTTTTCTGGTTCAATGGTAGAGATAGATCAGGTTTCCTGAATCAGATGAGATAAGCTGAGTGGTTGAAGACTGGGAACAGAGCCACGGAGAAAATAAACGTTGCATTTATTTAAAAAAATGAACATTAACATGGCGAAGAGGGAGAAGGAACCAGAAAATAGTTGTGTTGTTATGCGTCAGAAAGAGACTTAAGGATTGTCTAGTTGACACTTTCCTTGTTTGAAATGAAGGATATTAATTTACTCCTATTTAGATTTTCATATTTAGCAATATTGTAACTGAGGAAAAGGTTAGTGAGATTTTAAGTTCTTTCCCATTCTATAAAGATATTCTCTACGTCAGGAAATTTATTTTGGTTACAGTCCGTTCCTTACTTGGGAAGGGATTGAGGGTACTGAAGTCTGACCCTGAATTCCTGTCCACCTTTAGGACAAAGCAACACCAACTCGGACGCCTGTGCGGAATTCCGAATAAGATACGTCGGTGCCATTGAGAAACTGAAGCCCTCGGAAGGAGAAAGCCTTGCAGGGCCGCTGGACCTGATAAATTACATCGATGTTGCCCAGGTAACAAACAGAAAAAGCTCCAGTTATAAGATTCTAGCGAGTAAGCTCATGGCTGTGGAGAAAGACATTGCTTGTCCCCGAGCCTGGCCACAGCAGTGACGATGTCACCGGCGCGGTGGGCGGCGCAGGAGGCACAGGTGTCCTGGACCTGGTCGCCTGGGAACAGACGCCGCTCCTTCCCACAACAGTGCTTCTTACTTTCCCTGGGGCCGATGGCCTTCCTCTCAGTGAGCAATCTGCAGACCTTCTGGATCCGCCGAGCTGGTGCTGTCAGAAGGCTTAATCCCCACGGGGAGGGAGAGGGCACCTGGAGTGCATGGGTCTGAATTCGCTGAGGTGTTGGCTGTGAAAGGGGGGGGGGGAGCAGGCAGTGGGTTTCCTGCCTCTTTGGAGACATGCTTGCTGTGCGGCTGTTTGCCACATCCTTTGAAGAGGGGTGTGGGAGCCCAGTCCTCGTGTGTTTACTGTGTGCCCACCTGCTTCTTACCTCCAGCAAGATGGCAAGCTGCCCTTCGTGCCCCTGGAGGAGGAGTTCATCATGGGCGTCTCCAAGTACGGCATCAAGGTGTCCACGTCCGACCAGTATGTGAGTGACGGTAACGGTGTGCAGGGCTGGGGAGCGAAGGGCCATTGCTGGCGGCCGGCTCCTGTCCGCAGAGCCAGGGGGTGACACGTGCCCGGCCTCTGGTCTTAAAAACGGCCCGGTTCTGAGGGCGCTCCTGTGGGGGGGACCCAGCCAGCACCTCTCTGCTGGCCCACAGGCCTGTCAGCTTGGAGCCCCATCCCCTCCAGTCCGGAGTGCCGTCCACCTGGGGCTGGGCGTGGAGGACTGTCGTGAACTTGGGTCGTCTGACTCCCGTCTTCCTGGAGTTGAAGGAGCCAGGGGTAGCCCCAGGGTACCCTGCCCCACAGCCAAGCAGCTGGGATCCCCTTTGGGCGAAAACCCCGATCTCGAGTTCCCAAGCCTCACAAAGAACTTGTGCACGGAACCGTGTCCTCGGGTGGAGACACGCACCCCTCACGCCTCCCCTCCCGCTGCAGGACGTGCTGCACAGGCACGCGCTCTACCTGATCATCCGCATGGTGTGCTACGACGACGGCCTGGGGGCGGGGAGGAGCCTGCTGGCGCTGAAGACCACCGACGCCAGCAGTGAGGAGGTCAGCCTGTGGGTGTACCAGTGCAGCAGCCTGGTGAGCGTCCCCGTGCATCTCACTCGCAGACACGGAGGGAACCCAGAGGCTGAGGAGATGCTCCCCGCGTCTGACCCTGGCATGACGCGCACACGTGGCCACCAGCCCGCTGTCCGGGCCTTCTGCGGGGGCACTGTGCGCCAGGGTCACAGGGTCGGGGAACCCCAGATGGGGAGGGGGTCCCGCTTATCCCGACGTGTCCTTCCTGGCTCGTGTTCTTCACCACACCCACCGGTCTCAGGAACACGGAAGGGAGCACGCGGGTGGGCCAGGCCAGCAGGGTCATGCGTGGGGCTAGACGTGTCAGGGGCAGGTTTATAGCTGTGCTGTCAGATGACGTTCAGGGGCGGGTTTGTGAACGTTCTTCCTGTACCTTTTCGCTCGATGTAGGAACAAGCACAAGCCATCTGCAAGGTCCTGTCCACCGCCTTCGACTCGGTGCTGATGGCTGAGAAGGCGTGAGGCTGCCACCAGCGGAGGTCGGCATCGTGGGGAGGGCGGGCCGGTGCTCCCTACACTGGTTTTCATTCTGCAGCGCGGACCAAGCATGCAAGCACGGTGACCCGGTTCTAGGTTTTCTGGCAACACATCGGCCATTTGTTTTTCTATTAAAATGTGTCTTATTAACCGCGAGTGAGTGCAGTTACGATCGGGACTAAGAAAGAAACCTCACTTGTCGCTTTTAAACACAAACGAGGCTCGCCCTTTAGGGCCCAGAGGTGCCTCGGGGAACAGTGAGGGCTGAGGACGTCGGAGGAGGCCTGAGGCCGTGGTGTCTCTGGCCCAGCGCTCTGGCCGGGGGACACAGCACACGACACAGCGGACAGAGCCGCACGGTTAGACGGCACACACAGACGCTCACGTACGGCAGGCTGGTCAGGGAAGGGCGGGTTTTCGTACACAGCGTCTGAACGATTAAAAACAAAGCTGACACCACGTCCATTTAAAAGCATTTTATTTTTCCTAGTCCGATGACTAGTCACCAGGAAGAGGAGACTTATTGACATGCTCTAGGTATAAACCACTGCATGGCGGACAATGAAAATAAGGATTTAGGTTATACAGTATGTACAGTTGCGCTGCAACTAGACCAAAGGGATGGAGGGGGTGACTTGAATATCATACATCTCCGAGCATTTCCACACGCACCAGAGCCCACCCCCGCAGAGCACGCGGACGATCCCGAAGCGAAGTTCACGACACAGACCTGGAGTATAAATAGGTATCTACAACGCTTTCCTTCCTCTCACTTGCTTTAATTTATTTATTTGCAGAGAGCAAATAAGTAGGAAAGGCTATCAGCAGGGAAGTGTGTGATTTCTCCTCTGACAAGAGTCCTATTCATGAGTCATATGCACAACAGCACCACCGCACTGTGGACTGGGAGTGGTATCGGAATGAACCCTCTCACAGCTGGCACCGAGGAGTCAAAGGTGGGTTGCGAGAGGCAGAGGTGGAGGGGCTGTTACAGGAAGTGCACAGTGCAAAACACATCTGTTCGCTTCCTTAAATCTGCGACAAACTTAACTAGACGGAGGGTTCAAACAACAGAAGTTAACAATCAGTGAAAATGATGTAGTGCTCTAAACAATAAGAATAATTATACATCTAACACATGTTACCCAGAATTTTGACAGGCAAAGAGCAATTGCCGTACAACATCATAAAACATTCCAGTTCTGTCTTCCTTTATAACAGCAACAAAAGCCACGACGCAATGACAGACAAAAGCAAACGTCCTACACGTACAAGAGGGACCCCATGAGCAGGCTGCTTCGCTCCGAAGCTCAGGCCTCGGCTGGTGGTAGAAAGCCGGTGGGCACTTACGCCCGTTTCTCCCCCGAGGGCCAACATTTCCCACCCCACCCCACTGAGCACGCTCAATGACTTGGTAGAGGCATGACAGTCAAGTTCTTCCAACGAATGAGTTGATTTAATCATATACAACCTAACCCCAGCCCCGGTAGCTTAAGTGGAAGAGGGATACGGTGCTTAGAGTGACGCTGTGGTGTCCGGGCATGCTTCGCCCCCGGCCTACGGGCTTCTGATGTGCTCTTGGCTACAGACGAAGGGACAGATGGAATGTAAGACAGTGGGGCCAACAGCCCTCTGGGCATGAGATACAAAGACCGGACACTAGACTGAGGGCGCATTCTTGGGTGGGAAGGGAAGGGGGCGACCACGGGGCCCGCCCGGCGGGCTACCTGTGCGACGGAGGGAGCAGGAGGCAGTTTCCGAAACACAGAGCATCCAAACAGCGGGAAGAGCTTTGCCATTTGCCACCGTTCGTTTCTAGCTGAATTCAGGAAACGCAGTTTCGCTCACCCTGGACCTGATTGAACTCTCATGCACCAGGATAGGCCGCTGGCAGTTCCGTCAGGGAGGCTGACTGCTCACACGGGCCACACACACATGCAGAATACACGGAGAGCCGTGCCCTCCTGCCGGGGCCGGGAAGTGCAATGCCAGTGTGTCCACTTCCAAGTCGCTGTAACCAAACACAGTGGCTTTCAAAGGAAATCTTGAAGAGGTGTTTTCTTTAAAGTCTGTCAAGGGGAACTGACAGCAGGGAGCCTCCTAAACAAGGAGAGCTGGCGCGCATCGACGTCGGAGACGGCCAAGGAGAGCAGGAAGGACTTCCAGTCCTCAGCTCGGTCGGGTTCCGCTCCTGTTGATCCAGGATCTCGACTGGAGTTACAATAGCTTTTTAGCTCACCTTTTAGGCAGTCCGGTTTTTCCTAATAGAAGCGGAGCCACGTTTCATGAAAATCACAAAGTATACAAACGATCCATTTGTAGACAGAAGTTGCCTCTGAGTTTTAAAAACGGAACTGGGAGTGGCAGTGGAGCCACCCACCACGCCTGGGCCTACAGTTCGTGAAACCGGCATCTGGCAGGAGTGCGGGTGCTAGGAACGGAACGGGAACACGGCTGCCGAGGGGGTGTGTGCGGCAGCGAGTCAGTCCACGATAAAGTGCACGAAGGACACGGGGAAGGCTCCTTTGCGGCCGGGGTCTCCGTCGAGGTGGCCGATCTGAAAAGAACAGACGTTCGGGGGTTAGAAAGCCTGCAGACACCAGACGCCGGGGACTCAGGGCGTGGCACCGTTTGGAGAAAGCCTGCCCGGAAGGATCTCTCTGAGGAAGGATCGCCCGGTGAGACACCTGAGCCGTTTTCCCTTTTCTCTGCCTCATCGTAGAGCGGGCCTGCCTCCCGGGAGGGGCTCTGTCTGCAGGCCTCCCCGCCTCACCCTGGCGGTCTTGGGCTGGACAGACAGACTCGCCATTCTCCCTTTAACGGGTGAAGAAACAGCGTCGGGTGTGTGAGCTGCAGCCACACGGCGGCGGCAGACAGGACGGGCCCGTTTGTGCGTGGCCAAGCCTTCACAGAGGCCGATAAAGCCATTCCTTCTCGCCCCGGGTGAATCACAGAAGGGACACACCAAGCCTGACCTCAAGGACGGGAATTACGCAGGTCAATCAAAGCCACCGTGTTTCCTGGGGGCGGGGCTGAGGTCACGGCGCACTTCCTGTCTGGACTCCGTCCTGTGCCCGGGGACCCCTTCCCCAGGGCCCGCAGGCCTGAGGACGCGGCACGGAGGGCTCACCGGCAGGCTCGGGCCAGTGGGCAGGGATCCAGCCGCCCAGGCCCAGCCCGGACTCACCCACCATGCCTGGTCCTCCTCCCCGTCCACGATGATCACGTCCCCCTCGGAGAAGGTCAGCTCGTCAGGGTTGTCGGCCACGCAGTTGTAGAGGGCCTTCACCCGCTTGGGCTTCAGCTTGGCCTGGGAGCGAGGGGAGGGTCAGAGGTCAGCGGGCAGAGGCCTGGGAGCCACAGGTCTGTCAGGACGGGCGGCTCAGCCCGGCCGGTGTGGCTCCACGGCAGAGCACCAGCCCACGATCCGGGAGGTCACAGCTGGGGATGCAGGAGGCAGCTCAGCCATGACTCTCTCACCACTGATGTTTCGATCCCTCCCTCTCTCTGAAGTCAATACAAACATGTTTAAAAAGATGGGGCGGCTCCGTGGTGCTCAGGGGCAGGGGCCCTTGGAGAGCCAGCCGGGAACATGGCACCTGGGGCTGAGCATGGGGCGTCCTGACGGGAGCGTCAGGAGAGGGCTGAGGCCCCCCACCCAGCGCCCCCGCTGGCGAGCTCGGGGTTGAGTCCTGCCCAGATCCAAAGACCGGGTACCCAGGAAGAAGCCGCCCTCTCCCCCCCCTCCCCAGCCCTCGGGGAGTAACCCGCACCCTCTGGCCGAGCAGAGGCAGAGCAGGAGGTGACCCCTTACCGCCTGTGACTTCCTGGGCATGGGCGCGGGGGGCTGCAGGGCCGGGGTGCTGGACAGAGGACCCAGGGCTTCCGTGCCGGAGAGGTCCGCCGCTGTGGGACCCAAACGCAGCTCACGGAGCGCCCGAGGCATCGGAGGCTCCAGGAGGGAAGGGGGCAGCCGGATGGGGCGGGGTGGCAGCTGGTTGGCTGCTGGGTCCTCGCACAAGACTGCCCCCCGGACCCTGCCCCAGGCCCCCACTAACCGAGTGGGAGGGAAGCCCAGCCAGAGGAGAGCTTACCGGGGCCTCGAGGCTGGCCTTTGGGGACCAGGGGGGCAGGCTTGTCAGTCCTGCAAAGAAGGGAGAACAGATCTGCTGGCACCTGAGGCCGGAAGGCACGCACCCCCCCCCCATCCCCTTTCATGGGGCACCGTCTGTGCTCCAGCTGCACTGGGTGAGCTGATCCAGTAAATTGTGTTTTAACCTCTGCCGGCATGGCTCAGGGGCTGAGCGCTGACCTAGGAACCAGGAGGCCACAGTTCGATTCTCAGTCAGGGCACAAGTCTGCGCTGCAGGCTCGATCCCCCGATGGGGGGCGCGCAGGAGGCAGCTGATCCTTGCTTCTCTCTCATCATTGATGTTTCTCTCTCCCTCCCATCCTCTCTGAAATCAATAAAAGTAACTTAGTAAACAATTAAAAGGAAGACTGAGAGGCCACAGTGCCAGGCCCAAGGTCCTGCATAGAAATCCCTGCAGATACAGCCTGCGGCCACTCAGAGGCCCCTGGGGTGGAAGCAGCGAGGCCGCCCGGGCGGGCAGGCCGAGGGGGCGGGGCGGAGCGTACCCCGGGGCAGGCCTCCTCTGCGGGAGGCGGCTGGGCGGCTGCGGCTGCGGCAGGGCCGGGGCCATGGTCTTGCCCGGCGGGGTCAGCTTGCTCTGCTGGCTCAGGGCGTCCAGGGCCCCGGGCATCTTGGTGGCGGGAGCGGGCGGCGTGGGAGCCAGGGGGTCTGCGGAGAGAGGCGGCGGGGAGACAGGGTCAGTCCAGGCCTCACAGAGGCTCTTTGGAGGCGCAGTGCCGCTATTTCACAAGGAAAAGCCCCCGTTCCCTGCAGAGCCACGGAGACGGCACCACGGGGAGCCCCCATGCCTCGGCGTAAGTCTTCCACGTCCCTCCGTGCCTGTGTTCCCGGAGGGGGTTCCCGAGGACAAGCCAGGGTCCGGGACGGCGGTGTGTGTGGGACCTGGGGGGCGGCAGCCACGGAGGCTGAGGCCCAGGCCGGGCTCTGGCCACGTCCTGTCCCCGGGGGGTGGGCCAGGCCATCCAGGCTCCTTCCTCCTCCTGCCTCTGGACCCGGGCTGACCACTGCCCAGGGGGTGGAGAGCGAGCCGTGCCGGCTGCCCAGCTGCGAGGGGTGGACGGGGCTCAGTCCCTACTCTCCACAGGCGAGGAGGCCTGGCTGGTGTGGGGAGGGGGACAGAGGAGCCGCTCTGGGGGAGCCGGGGTGGGCCGCCCCAGGGGATCACAGTGGGGAGGCGGCGGCCGCGGGGCTGGGGGACGTAAGAGCCACATCCCGCGCAGCCCCGGACACGGCAGAGTCTGCATGTGGCCCGGCCCCAGCGCCCTCCCCCCCTCGGCGGGCCTCCAGCGCGGCAGGAGGCGGAGGAGGAGGAGAACGTACTGGTGGACGACACGCGGAGTGGGGGCAGCGGCGGGTGGACGGCGGGCGGGTCTGACGAGGACCGCTGCCGGCCGGCTCCGTCCACGCTCACAGAGTTCGTCTTCCAGGGGGCGTTGGTGGCGGGGGCCTGGGCTGCAACCACACGTGCACACACACACGTGTCACACAGGCACGCACACGACAAACACAGAAACAGAACACAGCATGGCTGACCCGCTCCCGCCATGGCCAGCGGGGCCGTCCGGAGCGGCAGGGCCGGTCTGTGAGCCGGCTCCCGCCCGAGGCCGCCAGGCCAGGCCAGGCCGCGTGCCGAGGACACAGCGGGACGCCCGGTGGCCGGCGGGCACCACACCGACCCCTTCCCCGTGTGGACGGATGCGGCCTCCGGGGGGGGGGGGGCCCAGAGGGATGACAGGGAGGCCCTCGGGGGGCCAGCAGGCGAAGTGCAATCTCAGAGGAGGACGAAGCAGCCACAGAACCGCACACACAGAAAGGGGAGAAGATCCCCACACCCACGTTCCGAGACGTTCGGAAAGCAGAGAGAAAGCCGGACAGCTCCGCCTTTTCTCCCGCCGCCAGCGCCACCCGTGGGGGCAGAGCAGCGCCCGCCTCCCACCCACACCCAGCCACAGCGGCCGCACGGCCGCTCCGGGCTCGGTACCTTTGGCCACGTTCCGGGGGGGCAGCGGGGGGGCGCTGGCGGGGCCGGGGGCCGCGGGCGGGCCGGGGGCCGGGCTGCCGCCCAGGACGGCTCCGTACGTCTCGTTCTGCACGATGCTGGGCGCGAAGGCCCGCGGCTTGTCCTTGGCTGAAGGCGCGGCGCCGGAGCCCAGCTGGTAGAAGCTGACCGGCCGGTCCTCCCGCCGACTGGGGCTGGGCTGGGGGGGGGGGCAGGTGTGGGACGTACGGACACGTGGACAGGAGAACCTCTGGGTCCCAGCGTCCCAGCCACCGGTGACAGGCTGGCCGACCCCACGGCTCAGCCCAGCTCAGGCGTGCAGGGCTCAGTTTTAAACTCCCACACGGCCACTCCCTGCTGGAAAGGGGGGTGGACGTGTGTCTGGGCTCCGATCCCCACTGTCCCTGGGCAATGCCACCTGCTGGTGGAGAGGCCCTCACCTGGGCAGGTGTTCCAGACCTGCTCCATGAAGGCAGGTGCGGAAAACCTGCCTGATCCTGTTCTCGCTGACTCACGGAAGGAGTTTCTTATCCCAAGAGTCAGTAAGGCCCTCGCCGGTTTGGCTCAGCGGTTAGAGCATTGGCCCTCAGTTGCAGGCTTGATCCCCGGCCCTGATCGGGGCAGGTGCAGGAGGCAACCAATCGAGGTGTCTCTCTCCCATCCGTGTCTCTCTGTGTCTCTCTCCCCCTCTCTTCGGCTCCAAAAAAAATTCAACGGGGGAAAAATACCCTCAGGTGAGAACTGACAAAAAGGAGCCAGCAAGCACAGCTGTGAAAGGCTCCAGACACGCCACGTGTGCAGCCGGGCATCCCCAGGACCTGAACAGCCAGGTCGGCACAACGCGGCTCGAGAGCCACAGGCGGCTCTCTGGCCCCTTGAGTGTGGCTCTTCCACAAAACACCACGGCCTGGGCGAGTCTATGGTGAAGAAGTGGTGTTAGAAGTTTGTTTAAAAAATGTGGCTCTCCAGAGAAATGCCAACCGTCGTACGGCTGACACTTGGCTCTGTGGACTCGTGAGTTTGCCGACCACTGGCCTAGAGGAAGACGAGGAAACCTGACCAGCCTTCCTCGCTTCTCGGCAGCGGCAGCGTGGGCTCTGCGGCCCGCCTGTCCGGTCTGACCCTCCCTCTGCGGCTGTGCCGTCGCCACCTTCCCGGCCCCCGGAGTGTCCTGAGCGACAAGGAGGCCAGAGCCCGCCGTCGGGCCCTCAGCTGGTCCCTGCACACTTGCTTCCTGGGGCCAAGTCCACCTCTCAGCATCCAGGGCCCGGTCGATCAGGGGAAGCCCTGAGCCCCGTGAGCAGGAACGGTTTCAGCGACGGGTGCAGAGCCCGCCTTGGGGAGCATGGCCGCCAGGAAACGTGGCTCTCAGTCCCGGTATTCAAGCATGCGGGGTCCTCCCCACCCACCGGATCGAAGCCGCCGCCTTCCCCTCGCATCAAAAGGCGAGCAGCGCCCAGGACACTGCCGTTCCCGGCCCGTTAGGGAGCGTGTGCCCGTTCCCGTTCCCGGCCCGTTAGGGAGCGTGTGCCCGTTCCCGGCCCGTTAGGGAGCGTGTGCCCGTTCCCGGCCCGTTAGGGAGCGTGTGCCCGTTCCCGGCCCTTTAAGGAGCGTGTGCCCGTTCCCGTTCCCGCCCGTTAGGGAGCGTGTGCCCGTTCCCGTTCCCGCCCGTTAGGGAGCGTGTGCCCGTTCCCGGCCCGTTAGGGAGCGTGTGCCCGTTCCCGTTCCGTTAAGGAGCGTGTGCCCGTTCCCGTTCCCGCCCGTTAGGGAGCGTGTGCCCGTTCCCGGCCCTTTAAGGAGCGTGTGCCCGTTCCCGGCCCGTTAGGGAGCGTGTGCCCGTTCCCGGCCCGTTAGGGAGCGTGTGCCCGTTCCCGTTCCCGGCCCGTTAGGGAGCGTGTGCCCGTTCCCGGCCCGTTAAGGAGCGTGTGCCCGTTCCCGCCCGTTAGGGAGCGTGTGCCCGTTCCCGCCCGTTAGGGAGCGTGTGCCCGTTCCCGTTCCCGGCCCGTTAGGGAGCGTGTGCCCGTTCCCGGCCCGTTAGGGAGCGTGTTCCCGTTCCCGTTCCCGGCCCGTTAAGGAGCGTGTGCCCGTTCCCGATCCCGGCCCGTTAGGGAGCGTGTGCCCGTTCCCGGCCCGTTAAGGAGCGTGTGCCCGTTCCCGGCCCGTTAGGGAGCGTGTGCCCGTTCCCGTTCCCGGCCCGTTAGGGAGCGTGTGCCCGGTCCCGGCCCGTTAGGGAGCGTGTTCCCGTTCCCGTTCCCGGCCCGTTAAGGAGCGTGTGCCCGTTCCCGGCCCGTTAGGGAGCGTGTGCCCGTTCCCGGCCCGTTAAGGAGCGTGTGCCCGTTCCCGTTCCCGGCCCGTTAGGGAGCGTGTGCCCGTTCCCGGCCCGTTAAGGAGCGTGTGCCCGTTCCCGGCCCGTTAGGGAGCGTGTGCCCGATCCCGGCCCGTTAGGGAGCGTGTGCCCGTTCCCGTTCCCGGCCCGTTAGGGAGCGTGTGCCCGTTCCCGGCCCGTTAGGGAGCGTGTGCCCGTTCCCGTTCCCGGCCCGTTAGGGAGCGTGTGCCCGGTCCCGGCCCGTTAGGGAGCGTGTGCCCGTTCCCGTTCCCGGCCCGTTAGGGAGCGTGTGCCCGGTCCCGGCCCGTTAGGGAGCGTGTTCCCGTTCCCGTTCCTGGCCCGTTAAGGAGCGTGTGCCCGTTCCCGGCCCGTTAGGGAGCGTGTGCCCGTTCCCGGCCCGTTAAGGAGCGTGTGCCCGTTCCCGGCCCGTTAAGGAGCGTGTGCCCGTTCCCGTTCCCGGCCCGTTAGGGAGCGTGTGCCCGTTCCCGGCCCGTTAAGGAGCGTGTGCCCGTTCCCGGCCCGTTAGGGGGCGTGTGCCCGTTCCCGGCCCGTTAAGGAGTGTGTGCCCGTTCCCGGCCCTTTAAGGAGCGTGTGCCCGTTCCCGGCCCGTTAGGGAGCGTGTGCCCGTTCCCGGCCCGTTAGGGAGCGTGTGCCCGTTCCCGGCCCGTTAGGGAGCGTGTGCCCGTTCCCGGCCCGTTAGGGAGCGTGTGCCCGTTCCCGGCCCGTTAGGGAGCGTGTGCCCGTTCCCGTTCCCGGCCCGTTAAGGAGTGTGTGCCCGTTCCCGGCCCGTTAAGGAGCGTGTGCCCGTTCCCGGCCCGTTAGGGAGCGTGTGCCCGTTCCCGTTCCCGGCCCGTTAGGGAGCGTGTGCCCGTTCCGGGCCCGTTAGGGAGCGTGTGCCCGTTCCCGGCCCGTTAGGGAGCGTGTGCCCGTTCCCGGCCCGTTCCCGGCCCGTTAAGGAGCGTGTGCCCGTTCCCGTTCCGGGCCCGTTAAGGAGCGTGTGCCCGTTCCCGGCCCGTTAAGGAGCGTGTGCCCGTTCCCGTTCCGGGCCCGTTAAGGAGCGTGTGCCCGTTCCCGGCCCGTTAAGGAGCGTGTGCCCGTTCCCGGCCCGTTAAGGAGCGTGTGCCCGTTCCCGTTCCGGGCCCGTTAGGGAGCGTGTGCCCGTTCCCGTTCCCGTTCCCGGCCCGTTAAGGAGCGTGTGCCCGTTCCCGTTCCGGGCCCGTTAAGGAGCGTGTGCCCGTTCCCGGCCCGTTAAGGAGCGTGTGCCCGTTCCCGTTCCGGGCCCGTTAAGGAGCGTGTGCCCGTTCCCGGCCCGTTAAGGAGCGTGTGCCCGTTCCCGTTCCGGGCCCGTTAAGGAGCGTGTGCCCGTTCCCGGCCCGTTAGGGAGCGTGTGCCCGTTCCCGTTCCCGGCCCGTTAGGGAGCGTGTGCCCGTTCCCGGCCCGTTAAGGAGCGTGTGCCCGTTCCCGGCCCATTAGGGAGCGTGTGCCCGTTCCCGGCCCGTTAGGGAGCGTGTGCCCGTTCCCGGCCCTTTAAGGAGCGTGTGCCCGTTCCCGGCCCGTTAAGGAGCGTGTGCCTGTTCCCGTTCCGTTAAGGAGCGTGTGCCCGTTCCCGTTCCCGGCCCGTTAGGGAGCGTGTGCCCGTTCCCGGCCCTTTAAGGAGTGTGTGCCCGTTCCCGGCCCGTTAGGGAGCGTGTGCCCGTTCCCGGCCTGTTAGGGAGCGTGTGCCTGTTCCCGGCCGTTAAGGAGCGTGTGCCCGTTCCCGGCCGTTAAGGAGCGTGTGCCCGTTCCCGTTCCCGGCCCGTTAGGGAGTGTGTGCCCGTTCCCGGCCCGTTAGGGAGCGTGTGCCCGTTCCCGGCCCGTTAGGGAGCGTGTGCCCGTTCCCGGCCCGTTAGGGAGCGTGTGCCCGTTCCCGGCCCGTTAGGGAGCGTGTGCCCGTTCCGGGCCCGTTAAGGAGCGTGTGCCCGTTCCCGTTCCCGCCCGTTAAGGAGCGTGTGCCCGTTCCCGTTCCCGGCCCGTTAGGGAGCGTGTGCCCGTTCCCGGCCCGTTAGGGAGCGTGTGCCCGTTCCCGGCCCGTTAAGGGGCGTGTGCCCGTTCCCGTTCCCGGCCCGTTAGGGAGCGTGTGCCCGTTCCCGGCCCGTTAGGGAGCGTGTGCCCGTTCCCGGCCCGTTAGGGAGCGTGTGCCCGTTCCGGGCCCGTTAGGGAGCGTGTGCCCGTTCCCGGCCCGTTAGGGAGCGTGTGCCCGTTCCCGTTCCCGGCCCGTTAGGGAGCGTGTGCCCGTTCCCGGCCCGTTAGGGAGCGTGTGCCCGTTCCCGGCCCGTTAGGGAGCGTGTGCCCGTTCCCGGCCCGTTAAGGAGCGTGTGCCCGTTCCCGTTCCCGGCCCGTTAGGGAGCGTGTGCCCGTTCCCGGCCCGTTAGGGAGCGTGTGCCCGTTCCCGTTCCCGTTCCCGGCCCGTTAGGGAGCGTGTGCCCGTTCCCGTTCCCGTTCCCGGCCCGTTAGTGAGCGTGTGCCCGTTCCCGGCCCGTTAGGGAGCGTGTGCCCGTTCCCGTTCCCGGCCCGTTAGGGAGCGTGTGCCCGTTCCCGGCCCGTTAGGGAGCGTGTGCCCGTTCCCGGCCTGTTAGGGAGCGTGTGCCCGTTCCCGGCCCGTTAGGGAGCGTGTGCCCGTTCCCGTTCCCGGCCCGTTAGGGAGCGCGTGCCCGTTCCCGGCCCGTTAGGGAGCGTGTGCCCGTTCCCGGCCCGTTAGGGAGCGTGTGCCCGTTCCCGGCCCGTTAGGGAGCGTGTGCCCGTTCCCGTTCCCGTTAGGGAGCGTGTGCCCGTTCCCGGCCCGTTAAGGAGCGTGTGCCCGTTCCCGTTCCGTTAAGGAGCGTGTGCCCGTTCCCGTTCCCGGCCCGTTAGGGAGCGTGTGCCCGTTCCCGGCCCGTTAGGGAGCGTGTGCCCGTTCCCGGCCCGTTAGGGAGCGTGTGCCCGTTCCCGGCCCGTTCCCGGCCCGTTAGGGAGCGTGTGCCCGTTCCCGGCCCGTTAGGGAGCGTGTGCCCGTTCCCGTTCCGTTAAGGAGCGTGTGCCCGTTCCCGTTCCCGGCCCGTTAGGGAGCGTGTGCCCGTTCCCGGCCCGTTAGGGAGCGTGTGCCCGTTCCCGGCCCGTTAGGGAGCGTGTGCCCGTTCCCGGCCGTTAGGGAGCGTGTGCCCGTTCCCGGCCCGTTAGGGAGCGTGTGCCCGTTCCCGTTCCCGGCCCGTTAGGGAGCGTGTGCCCGTTCCCGTTCCCGGCCCGTTAGGGAGCGTGTGCCCGTTCCCGTTCCGGGCCCGTTAGGGAGCGTGTGCCCGTTCCCGTTCCGGGCCCGTTAGGGAGCGTGTGCCCGTTCCCGTTCCCGGCCCGTTAGGGAGCGTGTGCCCGTTCCCGTTCCCGGCCCGTTAGGGAGCGTGTGCCCGTGCCCGTTCCCGGCCCGTTAGGGAGCGTGTGCCCGTTCCCGGCCCGTTAGGGAGCGTGTGCCCGATCCCGGCCCGTTAGGGAGCGTGTGCCCGTTCCCGGCCGTTAGGGAGCGTGTGCCCGTTCCCGGCCCGTTAGGGAGCGTGTGCGGGCGGGCAGCCGGCGGGGGAGCCACGCCCCGTCCCCGGAAGTGAAGAGAACCCTCCTCTCCCTGCCCGCCCGGGTGGCCGCGGACCGGCGCTCCCCGGACGCCCCGCTGCGCCCGCCCGCACCTGCAGCTTCTCCTCCACGTCCTCGTCGCTCTCGTCCAGGTCCTCGGGCAGCAGCCGCCACTCATACTCCACGTGCACGTGCGCGTTGAACCTTCCGGACAAGGCTTGCGTCAGCTGAGGGGAGCAAAGCACTGTGGGTGAGGCGCCCAGCAAAGCCAGCCACACGTCCGCGGGAGGGAGGGGGGAGGCCCCGACCCCCAGCTCAGGTGCATCTCTGGGCCCAGGGACACCCTCCCGGCTCACAGGTCACCCCGAGACGCAGACCCATGGCGTGCCCTGTGCGCTGCGCGCAGAGGGCCCGTGCCTGTCCGTTCTGGCCTCACTGGCCACGGCCGGCGGGGTCAACCCAGCCCTCCTCAGCCCACGGGAGCGGGAAGCCCCTCCTAGGGCCGCTCAGTGCTCAGACGGCGGCCGGCTGGTTCCGGCCGCAGAGGGCCGCCCACCCGTCAGCCTCCCGGGGTGTCTGGGACACGGGGCCTAACTCTCCCCACAGCCACCGAGGCGCTGTGCGGCCGTGGGCAATGCCGTGGCCGCTCTGTGCAGACTCACCAGCTCCTCACAGTGCTCGTGCCTGAGGCGCTTGGCGATGTCCAGCGGCGTCTCCCCGGCCTCGTTAGCTACAAGGACAAGCGGAGGTGAAGACGAGGAAAGGGACAGGGCGGCTGAAACCGGTGTGGCTCAGTGGATAGAGCGTCGGCCTGCGGACTGAAGGGTCCCGGGTTCGGTTCCGGGCAAGGGCATGTACGTTGGTTGCAGGCACATCCCCAGTGGGGATTGTGAAAGAGGCAGCTGATCGATGTTTTTAACTCTCTCCCCCTCTCCCTTCCTCTTTGTAAGAAGTCAATTAAAGATAAGAATAAGTAAATGAATAAAAAGTAAGAAGAAGAATGAAAGGGCCGGGGCAGCGGCCAAGACTACACGGAACAGGACAGACGGAACCCGCAGTGCGTGGGCGCCCGCCGGGGCCGACCTCGTCTGCCACCGAGCGGACCTGCCGCCCCATGTGGCCGGTGAGATGGTACCAGGTGCGCGCCGATCCCGACCATCGGCCACGGAAGCGGCCCACGAACAAAATCCACACGCAAACTCCACGCCCACAGAGCAGTTCCCACCCCGTCCACCGGAGCACCGTGGGTGGGGGCGGCGGCCGGGGCCCCCTCACGCCTCCCCCGCGGTCTGCCCACAAAGGGAAATAGCGGGCTTTCTCCCAGGAACCCTCAGCCAACCAGGCGAGAACGCGCTTTTTTAAAATATGTTTCCATTGACCTCAGAGAGGAAGGGAGTGGGACAGACACCCGAGGATGAGAGAATGATGGACCGGCTGCCTCCTGCACGCCCCCTACTGGGGATCGAGCCGCACCCTGGGCCGCTGGGCGTCACGGGCTGCACTGCTCTCCCTGAGCCAGCAGGGCGGGCTGACCAAGATGTGGGCTATGGACAGAGGGCGAGAAGCCCCAAACCACGGCCAAGGTCACCGCAGCCTCAGGGACACACCCTCCCTCTGACGCCGGCCACCGATGGACGGTCCGGGAGGCAGGCGGCTCCTGACCCCGGCTCGGCAGCCCTGCGGACACGCCGGCCCCTGCTGCTCGGAGGGAAGGCTTACGCCCTCAGCCCCGAGGGGAGCCGGTGTCATCAGGGACACCGGGGAACGTGGCCGCTCACCGATCTCGATGGAGGCCTTGCCGCGCAGCAGCAGCTTCAGGCACTCGGCGTTGTCGGTCAGGCAGCAGTAGTGCAGGGCCGTGCTGCCCTTGCCCGTCTGTCTGTCCAGGTTCCCGCTGGCCGGCACCGGGAGGGAGGGGGGGAATGGTGAGCCACGGGGACTGAGGGGAGCAGGGCGGAGGGTGCTCACTCCGGCGGCACGGCTGTGAGCCGGGGGCCCTGGCTCAGGCACCAGGGACGGCCGAGAGGGAGCCAGGCCCCGGGCTGCACCTGAGCAGGTGCCGAAAGCACCGCCTTCCCGGGCCCCCAGTCCCTGCCGCCGGCCGCTCCCCCATCAGTGCCGAGGCCGCAGGAAGCCAGGCGACCGCCCGGCCTGCCCCACAGAGGAACGGCGAGCTCGCCGTCTTGTTACCGATTCTCTCACAGAAAAGGCAAAAGACACTTTCCAGCGGCCAGTCCCCAGGCTCCTCCGGGCTGCTCGCCGGGCCGGGCCCCGATGCACCCCCCGCCCCCCGCCCTTCCTCTCGCTCCGGCTCCCACGGGGCCGCCCCGCAGCCCTCGCTCAGTCCTGGGGCCGCCCCAGCCTCCCGGCCCTCACACCCGCCTCTTCCCTCGGGAACCCCGAAACCCCCCCTTCCCCCCCGTCCGAGCAGGCCACCTGTTCTGAACCAGGAAGTCCACGATGTGCAGGGAGGTGCGGTCCACGGACCTGACGGCCAGGTGCAGGGCGGTCTCGTCCGGCTCCTGCAGAGCAAGCGGAGCGGCCATGGCCCTTGAGCCCCCCCCCGGGGACCCCAGAAGGCTGCCGCGGGAGCCGCTCTCACAGGGGCCCGCCTCGAGGACCGCAGAACGGGGGTTCCCTCAGAGCCCCCGCCGTCCTCTGACCTCGTCCCTCCATTCACAGCACAGAGCCTGGGGGCCGGGGTCTCAGTTCCAGGACCGGGGGGCTGCCGGGCCCTGCACCCCGGCTTACACCCGGGCCGGCACCATGCACACCAGAGGGCACGCGGCTGCCACGGCCTCTTCGGGGGCCACGGGGGCTGTCCCAGGAGGGGTGGGGTGCAGGGTGGAAGGCCCGGCTGAGCGGGGCACCCGCCCTGGACCGACTCCTCTCTCAGCCCCGAGTGCCTCTGTCTGGGTGAGAGGAGGTGCCAGGGGGGCGTGTGTCCCGGCCCCGCCCTCTCAGGAGAGCACTCGGGGTGGGGTGGGGGGAGGGCTGGGGAGCGGGGCAGGGCCGCACCGGCCTCTCCTCCCTGACGTCCTGGAGCTGCAGCTGAGGCCCGGCCCCGAGTGCCCACGCTCCCGGGAACCGCCCGCCGCCCTCCCGGATGGAACGCCCGCCCGCTGCGTTCCCGGCCCGGCCCCCCCGGCCCCGCCCCGGCCCCGGCCAGGCCCGCCGAGCACTCACGTGCCCGTTGGCCAGCGGGACCCTGTCGGTGAGGTCCGCGCCCTCGGCGTAGGCCTGGAGCAGCCCGAAGACGTCCCTGGCCTTGACGGCCTCGCACAGGCCGTGCAGCCGGGCTGCGCTGTCCGCGTGCCTCCTCCGCGCAAACCTCCTCTCGATGTACTTGGCCGTGATGTAGTCCTTCCGGGCGTTCCTGGAGCGAGCGCAACGGCCCCGTAAACGCCGAGGCCTCCAGCCCGCGGCCGGCAGACTCATCAGTCAGCAGAGCCAAGTTCCAACAGCACGACGACGGACATTTCTCCTGAGAGCCACATCGCTGCTCCACTTGGTCCACATCTCGTTCAGCCCCCGTGCCTCGGCAGGCCGATGCTCCCTCCCGCCTGGGAGGAACCATCAGTGCCCCCACGTGCGCTCTCCTGCCCCCCAGAAACCATCGGTGCCCCCACGTGCTCTCCTGCCCCCCAGAAACCATCGGTGCCCCCACGTGCACTCTCCTGCCCCCCAGAAACCATCGGTACCCCAAAGTGTGCTCTCCTGCCCCCCAGAAACCATTGGTGCCCCAAGGTGTGCTCTCCTGCCCCCCAGAAACCATCGGTGCCCCCACGTGCGCTCTCCTGCCCCCCAGAAACCATCGGTGCCCCCAACATGCGCTCTCCTGCCCCTCAGCCCCCCAGCACCGGGCCCGGGCCGGCCCGCCCACTCACATGTCGCTGCCTGGGCCGGGCTTGACGGGGTCCCCAGCGGGAAGGCAGCTCTCCATGATCTCGTTGAAGCCCGCGTTCCCCACGTTCTTGGCCAGCTGCAACGACACAGCCTGCTCAGGGCTCAGCCGTACACACCCTCTACACACACACACACACACACAGCTGCAACAACACAGCCTGCTCAGGGCTCAGCCGTACACACCCTCTACACACACACACACACACACACACACACACACACACACAGCTGCAACAACACAGCCTGCTCAGGGCTCAGCCGTACACACCCTCTACACACACACACACACACACACAGCTGCAACGACACAGCCTGCTCAGGGCTCAGCCGTACACGCCCTCTACACACACACACACACACACACACACACGCGCCTCGGCCAGCTGAGGGCGGCTCAGGCCGCTACGAAGGAGAGCCATGAAGTGGTTTGCCTCTCACACCGATGGACGGCCCTCAGCCCCAAAGGGACCCGTAACACTCGAGTGAAGAGGCAGCATGCCCGTACCACAGCGTCCATCTGCAGCGCCCTCCCTGGGGGTGTCACTGACATGGGGTGTCTGACGTGGGGGTGTCTGTGACGTGGGGGAGTCACTGACAAGAGGGTGTCACTGACATGGGGGTGTGTCTGACATGGGGTGTCTGACGTGGGGGTGTCTGTGACGTGGGGGTGTCACTGACATGGGGTGTCTGATGTGGGGGAGTCACTGACAAGGGGGTGTCACTGACATGGGGGTGTGTCTGACATGGGGTGTCTGATGTGGGGGTGTCTCTGACGTGGGGTGTCACCCTGCCAGACCAGGAAGGACTGCCTCGGAGCTCGGGAGGAGCTACAGGCGGCAACAGACATGGCAGGCTCAGACCCGCGGGCCCTGAGGGCGCGTCAGTGAGATGCTGGCCCCTCGAGGGTCTACTGAGCACAGGAATTGATCTTCTGTCCAGATTGCTCTTGACACTAAAACCAATGCAATCAATACCCACTTCTACTTACTGCCTGGCGCCCCGCTCCCCCGGGAAATTCAAACGCGGGGCCTGGCCAGCAGCTGCGGTGCTGACACTGGCCGGGGCCCATGTGCCGCCTGGCATGCGTGTCCGCCTCAGGGCTCTGGACGCTCCCACACGGAAACACCTCGGCCCAACCCGGCCTGTACCGTGCTATCATGGGACCGAGAGGAAAGCCTTTTCCAGAGACAGCGGAGTGAGAGCACAGAGCACTCTCCCCCAGAGGCGGACGGGAGGGGGGACAGCCCCCAGAGGCCCAGCCAAGCAGTGACCGCAGACTTGGCGGGACCCGGCCGGGGCCGCGCGGGCTCCGGGCTCTGCCGGTGAGTGAACCGGGGAGTTACCAGCAGCTCGGACGTGCCCAGGACGTCCAGCGTGAGGGACTGCATGCGGGAGTAGTGCACGCCCAGCTCCCGGTGGATGCCCGAGCACTCGATGCAGGTCAGGACGCCCAGGTTGGTGGAGAGCCACGTGGGGTCTGCGGAGGGAACACAGGCTGGAGCCGGCGGGAGCGGAGGGCGTGGGGCCGGGACCCGCCCTCGCAGTCCCCGCAGGCGGAGCTCAGGCACCGGCCCTCTCTCTTGGCGCAGCGAGGCCCGCCTTCGCCAGAAGCACTCGGCACACACAGGCACCGGTCTGTCCTCCCCTCTTCCTAACCCCACTCCCCGTCCTGGCATTCAGTAGGTGAGGGGCGAACAGGAACAGGACTCGGCGTCCTCCACGGGCTGCGCCCACCCCCGATCGGGTCATGCCAGCCGGCGTCTAACTACTACAGGGGGAGCGGACTCCGGTCACCCATGTCTGTACGTTCACAGGTGCTAATGAGAGAGAGGACACACTGCGAGCTGATGCCACGCCCTGCGCACAGCACCCTGGTAGCGATCAGAGCTCACGCTTTGAGCCCTCGGCAATGCCCCCTCACGGCGGCAATGCCCCCTCACGGCGAGCACGCAGAGGGAGCAGGGCGGGGCCTGCATGCGCCCAGAGGGCCTCGCTTGGGGCTGCAGGGGGCAGAGCAGGAGTCCGCTCCTCAGCAGGGGCTGCCGCCCCGGAGAGGCCCACACTGGGTGGCACACAGTAGGTGCTCGAGAAACGGCGGACAAAGAGGCGGAGCTCACTGAGACGGGGAGTTCAGAGTGAAACTCCCTCGGGCCCAGCCGTATGGTTCTCTCTAGAACGGCTAGTGTCCTTAGAAACAGCGGGTGCACAGCACAAGCGTGGTCCCCGGGCGGCTGGGTGGGCAAGGTGCAACGGATGGAGGATATTCCTCTCTCCGATGTTCTTCCCTTTTTTTTATAACCCTCACCCAAGGACACTTTCCTGTTGGTTTTTAGGGAGAGTGGAAGAGAGAGGGAAAGACAGAGAGAAACACATCGAGGGGTTGCCTCCTGCACGCACCCCAACCAGGGCCCAGGCCAGGGGGGAGCCTGCAACTGAGGTCCGTGCCCTTGACCGGAATGGAACCCAGGACCTTTCGGTCCACAGGCCGATGCTCTATCCACGGAGCCACACCAGGTAGGACACTCACTGATGTTTCTATCCCTCGTTCCTTCTCCTTTCCTCTCCAGAAATATCAATTAAAAAGCAACGAAGGGAGCAGAAAACCGGTGTGACTCAGTGGATAGAGCGTCGGCCTGCGGACTGAAGGGTCCCAGGTTCGATTCTGGTCAAGGGCATGGACCTTGGTTGCGGGCACACCCCCAGTGGGGGGTTTGCAGGAGGCAGCTGATCGATGCTTCTCTCTCATCGATGTTTCTAACTCTCTATCCCTCTCCCTTCCTCTCTGTGAAAAGTCAATAAAATGTATTTTAAAAAGCAGCCGCGGAGGGAGAGCCAGCGGCCGGGCGGGGGCGGCCGGGAGGAGGTCACCTGGCGCCCCGCAGTCGCAGCACACGTCGTTGCCCGGCATCCGCCGCACCTCCGCGATGATCTCCTTGGTCAGCTCCTGCACGATGTTCTCGCCGGGCGGGTCGTCGCCCTGGAAGGCGTTGTTGAGCGCCTCCTCCTTGCTGTTCTGCAGCACAGACATCCAGCTGGGGGGAGAGGGCGCTGTGAGGGCCCGGCCCGGCCCCGCCCCGGCCCCGCGCCCCGGGCGGCACTCACATCTGGCACTCCTGCTCGTCCTCCGCCTGGAAGTGGTACGTGCGGTCATCTGCGGGCGAGAGGGCCGTCAGCGGAGCGGGCGGCCAGCACCGTGCCCGCGGGCGCAGCCACTGCCGGCCTCGGGCAGTGGGGGCGCGGCGCCAGGCGCACACGGGCCCAGAGGCAGGCTCTGACGGCCAGAGCGGACCTGCCTGGCCCCCGCGGCAGGCTCACCGAGCAGGGGCTGGGCCCGGGTCCGAGCACAAACCCAGCCAAACACGAGAGCTACTCCAGGCTTGATCCCCGCTGCGGGTAGCGCTTCTTAGACTACATACACACACATATGTGTGTTTGTGTGTGTGTGTGTGTGTGTGTATACATATATATATATAACTTTTTTTATTGATTTCAGAGAGGAAGGGAGAGGGTGAGATAGATAGAAGCATCAATGATGAGACTCAATGACCGGCTGCTCCCTGCATGCCCCCTACTGGTAACTGAGCCCGCAACCTGGCCCTGTGCCCTGACCAGGAAACCTGGGGCCCTTCAGTCCACTGCTGATGCTGCATCCACAGCAGCTGGGCTGCAGCGTTTTTGACATCACAGGTGCGTCCTCTTTTATAAGGAAGGGCTGACCCAGTTTATCTCCTCATTTGCTAGCAGGACGAGGAGGCTGGGGGCTGGGACGAGGCATTGCGGGGTGTGGGGGAGCTGGGGGAGGGGAGGGGTGCCCTCCTCCACGTCAGAGGGGCAGGCACCCCGGGAACAGTACAGCCTCCACCTGGAACGCAGGCTCTCTTCCTAACCAGCCCTCCGCAGGCAGGCGCAGGGGACGGGCCCCGGCCCGGGTGTTGGGTTCGAAGCCCCCCCCCCCCCCCCAGGGCACAGCATCTGAGAAACAGACTCACGTGAGATGAGGTCGAAGCACTTCTTCTCCTCGGGGTTGGTCTTCACCTGGCAGGTGAGCAGGTTGAGCTTGGCGGGGGGCCGGTTCGCCTGTCAGGGAGTAAACAAACTAAAGCAAACCCGGAGCTGGTGGGGGAAACGGAACCTCGACGCTCACTCCTCCAAACAGAGCGGGCAGGGCTTTCCCTCGCTCACACACACTCACACACACACACTCACACTCACACACACACACACACTCACACACACACACTCACACTCACACACACACACACAGGAGACCAAGATGGAGCCTGGCTAAAGCGGGCCGTCCGTTCTGGTTCCTCCCGGCTCCCAGGCGGCGGCGGGCGCCCAGACCAGCCAGCCTGCTCCCCGGGTTTTCCTTGGGCAAACACTCGGAGGCTCAGGCCGGGGGCGGATCAGGCTGGCTCGGAGGCTCAGCTGTAGTGAGGTGACTGGCATCACTGGCCTCGGGGGTCCGAGCCCTGGGGGACGCTCGCTTCCTCTCCAGAGGTGGGTGGGGGCAGGGCCAGGCTGGTTCTGTGTGTTCCTGGGTCCCAGCTGGGAATGAGGCGCACCTGCCACCCCCCTCCTGGCTGCGGGTTCGAGGCTTCCCCCGCCCGGCTGCAATGGGGGCAGGTGCGCCACACGGAGCGGGAGCCCAAGCTCGCGTCTCCGCGGACGGGCTTCCTGGCGCGGACGCCCGGCGGGCACTCGGGGCCCCGCGCTCGCCCCGGCACACACTCACCGTCCCGTGGGAGATGGTCAGAAACCCGTTCTTCACGGAGCACTTCCTCTTCTGCCACACCTTCCGGAGCCTTCCGGAGAAGGGGCAAGCGTTTAGGAGCTCGGCCACAGGAGCGGGCGGACACGGTGCCCCCGCCCCCGCCGCCCGTACCCGTCGCTCTTCTTGTAGAGGCAGCCGCTGCGCTCCGTGCCGTGCTCCTTGTTGCCCTGCGGCTGGTGCAGGCTGTAGGCCGTGCTCGGGCGCAGCTGCGGGTCCTGAAGGGGCCGGAGTCCGTCAGCCCCATCGGGAGGGCCGTGTGCTCACGCAGGGCACCCTGCCCTTGTCACCACACACATCCACACAGACACACTCACAGACACACACACACACAGAAACACACACAGACACCACCCACACTCACAGACACACACACAGACACCCCCCACACACACACACAAACAGAAACACACACAGACATCCCCCACACACACAGACACACACACACACAGTCACACACACACACACAGAAACACACACAGACACCACCCACACACACAGACACACACACATACTCAAACACACACAGAGACAGACACCCCCACACACAGACACACACAGACACTCACACTCACAGTCACAGAGACACAACTCATACACATACACACACACACACACACGAATAATTCCTGTCCAGGAGCTGGTGAAGGCCACCCACCGGGCTGAAGGGTGTGGCCAAGACCAGCCGCCCCGACCGGCCACGGTGAGCTGCTGGGAAGCTACAGGCGTGACTCGGCAGTGACCCTCCGTCCCCGATCATGGCCAGGAGGTCCTGAGAGGCGCACGGCCCCTCCGAGCACAACCAGCCCCAACAACCCACAGGCAGGCCCTGCCCCCGAGGCCGCTGCCTCCTCCAGGAAGACAGGCAGCCACCACCTTGCAGAAGGTCAGGTGGGAGGGGCCGAGCCAGGTCACGTGCCTGGACACCTGGTACCGGGCAGGCGCGGAGCGACCTTCACTCCCGGCCCCCGCCCCCGGGCCTCGGCCCGCCCGGCCCCGCCCCGTCTCAGGTGAGCCGAGGGCCAAGCTTCTGGCAGGTGTGAAACGTGGACCCGAGCTCACAGGTTAACCAGGAGGACAGAGGCTGCCTCCACCTGCCCCTGGGACCCCATCAGCTCCCTTCACAACGGGAGAGACACCATGAACAGGTGATCTGCTGGAAGGGCAGGGCCTGTCGGGGCCTGTGGGGGTCGGGGCTGGAGCCGGGGCTGGGTGCCGACAGGCCCTGCACCCGCCTCCCAGGCTGATGCTCCTTCCCGGACACCACGTGTCCTCCCGGGGCCTGGTCCCATCTCCCCCCCAAGCCCAGGCACGGCCCAGACGAAGGAAGAACTCACAGGACCATCGGCGCGGTCTGAGCTGAGGGGCGGGCTCAGCCAGGGAAGGCCAACGGGGAAATGGACAGGGAGCGGAGGAAGCGACTTTTTACATTTCTGGTTACTATGTCTAGGCTTCCTATGGACGTCAGAGAAGCAGGGAGAGGGAGAGGGAAGCACCCGTGATGAGAGGGAATCACCGGCCGGCTGCTTCCTGCACGGCTCCCTGCTGGGCACTGAGCCCGCAACCTGGGCCTGTGCCCCGACCGGGAGTCAAACTGGGACCTCCTTGATTCATAGGTTGACGCTCAACCCGTGAGCCGTGCTTGGTTCAGAACGTAAATAAATAAAATGTTGACTTTAGAAACGTCTCTGTGATGAGAGAGAATCCCTCCCCCGTCGCTGACTCCCGGGGGGAGGGCACGGGTGGAGGGCGCTGTTTCACTTCCACAGGAAGGACAGCGCGGGGACACGGGACACGGGACACGGACACGGACACACGGGGAATTTCCACTTCACCGGTGTTGGTGCACTCACGTCCCTCAGCCTCTCCCGAGCCCCTGCTATGGGAGAGAAGGGATGACACGGAGGATGCTTTCCTCCTTACTATACATGGGAGAAACCGGGGGTTTTTGGTTGTTTTTTGAAGTTCGGAAAGAAAGCGTGCAAAACTCTCCCATTTATTAAAATGCTGAACTACTTACTCTCCTAGACTTCGGTCACCAAAGGCAAACGCATTGGGGAGAGAAACAACGATATTCGGTTAGAGCACAGCTGAGTCCGACCGCCAATGTGAGCCCGACGCGGACGGAGGCAGCGGCGCCAGCGGGCGGTCCGTCCGGGGACCGCGAGGCCCGAGGGGGGCGTCCCGGCCCAGAGGAGTCTGAAGTCCACAGGGGCGCTCAGACACGTCCTCCACCACCAGGAGGCACCGTTACGCTACGTTCCACACTGCGGTGGGAGCTGGGGGGCTGGGGCAGGGGAGTCAGGGACCCCTGAGGGGCGTGCGTCTGGGGGAGGCTGAGAGCTCCCCGCAGTCCACACCGGCCAAACAGAAGCACTGCCCGCAGCCACCGGGGCCGGGCCCCGCACTCCGGGAACCCGCTGGGCGAGCGGCTGCTCCTGGGACAGCCCAGCAGGGTCTGAGAGCCCCCGGGAGACACGGGTGTCGCCCTCCTCGGGCCCGAAGCCTCCGCGGCCCAGAACCAAACAGCCGTCCTCCACAGCCAGAGCCCTCACCTCCTTCTGCTCCACCTGCAGCGCCGACTTCAGGATGTCCCGCAGCTGGACCAGCTGCCGCCGCTCCTCATCCTGGGCCTGCTTGATCTTCAGAAACAAAACAGAGAGGGGGAGAGGCACGACAGAGGTACAGCGAGACGCTGGTGTGCGCAGGGCACCCCCGCCCCCGGGAACCCCTGGCCCCTCCCTCCGAAGCCCTCCCCGGAGGCCGAGTGGGGCTCCGTGCCCGGGGGCCGCTGCCGGGCGGCTGGTCCCAGCAGCAACTCAGGGCCAGACCAGCAGCACGTGTGGGAGCGGCCGCGGGCGGGGGGAGTGGGACGCACCGTGTGCAGGTCGGTGGACAGCGTCTCGATGGAGGGCTTGAGGCTTTCCACGGCCTTCAGTCCGTCCTGGAAAAAACTGGGGGAAGAGGAATCAGATCGTGGTCCCTGCAGAACCATCCTGTCCTCCGAGGAGGGGGGCTGAGCCTGCTGTCACTCCCGTGTTCCCAGAATCAGAAGACTCAGCGCGAGGAGGCGCGGGCGGGAGGGAGCTGCCATCAGGCGACACAGGTGTGGCTTTTCTCGACCCACGGACACGAGCCCCACGTTTTCCGTTTGTGGTAACGGGAAACGAGACGCGGCTGAGGAGGGCGGCAGAGGCTCCTGTCGGGAGCGGGGAGTCAGGGAATCAGCGGGAGCAGACGGGCTCTGCGGCCGTGGCTGATGCTCTACCACGCACCCCGGTCAGTGTGCGCGCGAACCCTCGAGGGGAGCGGAGAAGACGGGGGGCCCTCACGTCCCCGTCACAGCACCAGCAGCTCCAGGCACCGGGCCTGCATCCGGCACCCGGCCAGCGGGCCTCGCCTCCATCTCGCTGCCGGCTTCACCAAGCAGCCGCAGGCCCAGCGGCCTCCGCACCGATTGGCCAGAGAACACGTCACTCAACACTCTTCCCGCCTTTCGGGACGGGACCCTCCCTGTTGGTGTCACTGTTGCTGTGTTAAAGGCGCCGGTTTCTAGACCCACTGGACAGCGGCTCCAGGGACGGGCGGAGAGACGGACCGATTCTCTCCCTCAACGAAATAAAGACCAAGGACAGGATGGCGGGCTCTTCTCAACCGCCTACGGCAAAAGGCAAAACCACGCGCAGCCAAGGAGTGTCCGGGGGAGCCCCCGCGGCTCCCGGCGCGCTCCCGGCACCCGGCGTCCAGGGCCTCCTCACCCTGCAGCCCGGCCGCGCCCCACGCACTGCCGAGCTCCCGGGGGCAGGCGGAGACCGGAGGGGCCGTGTACGGGGGGCTCGAAGGAACCCCAGATGGTAGACTCCGCGTGGCCACCGCCTCCTGTCCATCGCTGAATCATCCGCTCCACATTTCATCTCCCAAGCGACGCACGAAACAGCCAAAGGCCGAGAAGTAGCGTGAAGAGCACAGTGTCACACACACACACACACACACGCTCATCCAGAAAGGAAGTGCCGGCCGAGCGAAGCATCCTTTTTAAAGGTTGCTGAGCTCATGCCCATAAAAGGCCAACTAGTTCACGTTCCACAAGGGGCCAGTTGCTACCCAACTGATCAGTTTGGGCAAAATAAAGGAGAAAAAAAAAAAAAGGAAATCCAAGAATAGCCGCTTCTTAAAAATAAAGTACCAGAAGGAAGCGACCCACTTCCTAAGCCGCCTCTGGGAAGGTCACGAGGCCACGGACAGAGAAAGCCATCTGCGTGTCCATCACCACGCCGGCTCTGCGTCCGTGGAAGAGCCGGGGGTTCCACACGGCAGGGGCGGGCAGGGCCACCTCAGCGGCGGCTCCCCAAGCTCGCTGCCGCCCGCCCCTCCATGCCACACGGTCACCGTGGCAACCATTCACAGGTGAACGCGGCGGGCTCCAGAGAAAGCCGACGCCGTGGCCGTTTCCGTACCAGCGCGCCCTCAGCCCTGCCCGGGGTGGCTCAGGAGCCGGGAGCATCGTCCCGTGCACCAAAAGGTCACCGGTTCGAGTCCCGGTCAGGGCACATGCCCAGGTGGCGGGCTCCATCCCCAATTGGGGCGTGGGAGACAGCTGATGGAGGTTTCTCACGTCAATATTTCTCTCTCCCCCCCGCCCTCCCTTCTTCTCTCTCCAAAACCAACACAACATTTTTTTTAAAGAGTGTACAGGTCAGGGGGAGGCGTCGCACAACAGGAAAGGCGTTGCCATGGCGATGCAGGAAGAGACGTCATCGCATCAGGCCCCGAGCAGAGGGACTTCCAAGGAGCAACTCCCCCTGGGCGAGGCCGGGGGAGGGCGGGGCTGGGGAAGGCGCGGAGAGGGGACGGCGGGCCGTGTGCTGCGGTGTCTCCCTCAGCCAGGGACATGGAGTCTGTGCTCTGACACGGTCACGTGAACGGGACGGCGGCCAGCACGCAGCCGCCAGGCGTGCAGGGACCGGAAGCGCCTATTTCTGCCAGATGGGCAGACACCAGACTCCCCACCTCCTGGTGCCACGAGATGGAAAAGGCCGACCCGCTGCTATCGATCGACCGGAATGTGCCAGAGAGACAGACAGACAGACCTGCCGTGACCCCGTGACAAGGACAGAGAACTTACTTGCATCCGATCTAACAGTCTTTTTTTTTTTTTAATGTGCCCTTGACTGGAATGGAACCCAGGACCCTTCTGTTCCCAGGCTGACGCTCTATCCATTGAGCCAAACCAGCCAGGGGGAGAACTTACTTGCACTGGGCGTGAAAGTACTTGATCAGGTTCTGAAGCAAGTCCACTCCCTTCTTGATCTTAATCTCATTGACCTTGAGCAGGTACTGTGAACACAGCAAAGCACCAGACGGGCGTCAGAGGCCCAGGCGGCTCCGGGCTCGGGGGGGGGGGCAGACCACACGTCCCTTTCTCCTCCGTGGGGCGGGCGGGAGCTCAGGGCGGAGGCGCCCGCCCGGAGGCCACACCCACTGCCCCTGGCCTTTGCTGCCACAGGAGCGCCCTGGCACACAGGTGACTGCGCGGCCCGAAGTGCCAGGACTCTGGTCCTGGGCCGGCCGCGGGGCCGGACTCCGGCGCCCGGGGCCCCCAGCCCCTCACCTCGCACATCTGCAGCTGGAAGAAGCGCCGCTCCTTCTCCATCTCCTCGGCGATCTCGGCGCCGCTGATCTCCGTGCGGATCATGCCGTGCAGCCGGGCGTGCTCCTTCTTCTCCTTTTCGATCTTGGTTCTAGGCGCACGGGCAGCGTCACCGGCCGCCGGGCAGGGACAGCGGACGCCCCCGGGCCTCTGACCGGCCCGGCCGCCCCCTAACATACCGCATGGAGCTGCCCGCGGCCACAGGCATGCCAACCTTGGCCTTGGGCTGAGAATTTACTGCACCCACCTCCCCTCGGCCCCCACGGCCCCCAGAGAGGCAGCCAGGTGAGACTGACGGGGGGTAAGGGGGGGCGCCACCTCTCTCCTCTCCTCTCCTCTCCTCTGCTGGATCCTGGGGAGGCGGAGAAACGCGGCTCGCGCTAAGGGGACCCACAAACCCCCAGGAGACGGGGGCTGACAGGGATAACACGGGGACGGGAAGAGGCGCCTCGGGAAGTCCCACCCGTAGCCCTTTGGCAGGAAACCAAAGGCACCAGGAAACCTGGCGTAAAGGGGCCAGCAGGGCGGCGCTCGGCAGCAGGTGTGACGGCCCCTGGCAACCCGGGCAGGTGCCCTGGCTGGTCAGACAAGCCCTTTCAGCTGGAAAAGTGGGTCCAAGTGGAACTCTGAAATGCCCCCTGCTGCGGTGCGTCTCAAGGGGAAACACTCACATTTTGGTTTCGTAGTCCTTCCAGGCTTTATCAAACGGCTTCTTCAGATCCTGTGAGCGGACAGGCGTCAATTCAGCAGGTTGCTCGGGCCACGATCGAGAAGCCACCCCGCCCGGCCCCCCCACGGCCCTCAACGCTCTGCCTGGGACTGGGCCGCACCCGGGGGTCTGGCTGGAGGGGCCGAGCTCCGGGTCCCACCAGCAGCCCCGGGTCACGCTCTGCCAGCAGGGTCTTCGGGAGAGGACGGCCTTCCACGGGTGGGCTTACGCTCTGGCTCTGCGCTGGCCTCCTGGCGGGACTCAGCTCCCAGCCCGGCCCTGGCCGCCCCCGCCCCTCCCTGACTCCGCCGACGCCCGGCTCCAGCGACACTGAAGCCTCCTGCCCGTCTGTGTCCTCCCTCTGCCCCTCGGCCCCCTGCTCCGGCCCCGAGAGGACAAGGGCGGTTGCTGGTGCCTGAGGGCGGGCCGGCCTGTCCTCTCTGCCCACAGCTCTCCTGGCACAGGCTGCCGGGTCCCCGAGACCAGCCGCCCGGCTTCCCGATGTGCCCGGTGCTCAGCAGCGGGGACTGCGCCCCAACCCCCCAATCCCGGCCCCGCCTCTCCCACCCGTGAAGCGAGTCACGCGTCTGTGCGTGGCGCCCCCTAAGCGAGGGGCGGAAATGCAGCGGGAGCCTGTCCCCCGGGGTCAGCCAGGGACACGGCAGCTGGAGGCCCAGACGTGAGCCTCCAGCGCCCCTCACCCCGGCTGCTCAGTCTCCCTCCCTGCGGGTCCCCAGCCCGAGCACCCCAGGTCACCCCGAGAGGCTGGGGCCCCGCAGCCGCCCCCGCCCCCGGAGCCGTCCGTACCCCCTTCACGCCCTTCAGGTCCCCCTTCAGCAGGCTGTCCAGCGGGAAGGAGATGATGTTGTTCATGTTCTGGATCTGAAAGACAAGACGGAGGGCGGCTCAGGCCCCGCGGCACAGCGCGCGCAGGCGAGCCAGGACGGCGCTTCCCGCAGCCCAGCAGCGAGGACGGCCCCGTCCGCCCGCCAGACGCTGGTGACGCGGCAGTCTTCCCGCCTCCACTTCCTGCGACTCAGCGATCGGTGGGAAAAGGTAACACTGCCGCGAAGACAAACCTTTCCGGCCGCAGCGTGAGCGCCACCACATGCCCGGGAGAAGGAGCCGGCCCGCACTGGCTCCCGCTGGCTCCCACCCCCAGGCCTGGCTGTCCCCGGTCAGTTCTCCACTGAGCCCCACCTCCCCAGCAGGGCTCCCAACAGGGGGGTGAGAGGAAACACAGAACACGGGCTCCCCTCCTGGGAGACTGGAAGTGCCCCTTACTCCTGCCCCCCTCTTGGTCCCCAGACCCATGTGAGGTGAGGGACGCAGCTTCGGTGGGAGGGCTGCCGGCACAGACTCCGGTTCAGAGCCTGCAGAGGTCCAGCCCGGAGGAGCACATAAGTCGGGATCCACTTTCTCCGGCCCCCCCCTCACCAGCCTGTGAGTCACTCAGCTGCCCGAGGGCGCTGCGGGGATGGGGTGGGGGTTCCCCCGGGGGGCATGTGTCAGTGGGGTCCCGCACCCGGCCACAGGCTGTGAAGGGAAGACGAGACAGACCTGCGGGGCCTCACACGCTCACAGACGGCGAAGAACACCTGTGTGTTCACCTGACCACTGGGAACAGGACGGGCTGAGAGACGGCCTGGCTTCGGGGCCGTGTGGGACCGGGTTCCACGCGCGGTCAGCGCCGGAGTCAGGATGCGGAGCGCACTCTGCCGGAAAGCACTGACCGCCAGCCCGCCGGGTCCTGACCCGGCTGTGACCCCCGGAAAGGCCTGGGCTGGGGTAACGCGTCCTGCTCCGACACCAGCTCTGGCGTTCCCTGGCCCTGCTCCCGGGACAGCGGCACCGGCTCCGACCGCCGGGACCAGCCTGGGAGCAGCACGCCTCGGCCCCGAGGAGCCGAGTGTGGCCACGTGGGGCGCGGGCTCCTGGCGGCTGGCACCCTGGTTCCACGGGTGGGGCAGGCCCGGGTGCGAGGAGCGGCTCAGTGTCGGGATCCAGAGGGAAGTGCTGCCGCGGGAAGAGGGAGAAGCTGTGACAGACCCGGTGACAGCCGCGCCCGCGGGGACAGATATTAATCAGCCGGCACCGCTGTGACGGACGGTGGGAGGCAGGCGGCCCTCGGGTTGGCGGGACATGAAGCTGCAGCCCCCGGGGGGGGTGGGGGAGGTGTGTGTGTGTGTGTGTGTGTGTGTGTGTGCATGTGTGTGAGAGAGAGAGAGAAAGAGAGAGAGAGAAAGAGAGAGAGAGAGGGAGAGGGAGGGAGAGGAAGAGGGAGAGGGAGAGGGAGAGGGAGAGAGAGAGAGGGA